ATAATATATCATTTTTTAAAAAAAGTTTGTTTATAACAATATATATATTTACTAGTTTAAATCATCTTATTGTAAAGAAAATAGGAACAAATAGCTCTCTGAAAAAATTTTTAGAAAATGTATTTAAAAATTTATCTTTTAATTAATATTTTTAAAAATAAATTATTGAATTGAAAGTTTTAACCTTGTAAATTATAAATATCAATTTTTATATTGATCTTATGTTTATAATTTTTTATCAAAAAAATTTTTTTATTGATAAATATTCAATAATATTAAATTTTTTATAATCAATAAGATAATTAAACCTATCAAAATAGTTGAAAAATTAATATATATAATTTATATAAATAAAAATTTTAATTTAATGATTAATTTAAAAAAATATTAATTAAAAAATAAAATTTTAAATAAACTCTCTAAAAAAAATTTGGAAAAACAAGGTGTGAAACATCTTTTTATTCACTATTTTTTAGTATATTTTTTTTATTCACTATTGTTAATGTTTCACATTGCTCAATAAGGTACAAGCATATAAATTATATGGTACAATTAATAATCTAAATTGTTGAATAATATTTTAGGTTCAATGGAAGTAAGAAAGGAAAAAGCAAAAATAAAATCAAAACCAAATAAAGTCGTCATTCAACCTAAAATAAAGGTATTATTCAAACCAAAATAAAGACGTCTCATCTAGCAGTACCCTCCATAAAGGATAATGTTCATCTAGATATTCTCAGGTAATGTGTGGTTGATATTTTTTTGGTCTGACTTTTTTCGTACAAAAATGAAATATCATTTCAAGCGCAATAATTAAAGGAGTCCCAAACGTCAGGCGTTTGTTTTCAATTTCTCTCCTCATCAATCAGTATTATCTCCAAATATGTCGGAGGCGTTTGTTTCCGCTATCATGCAGCAGCTAGTAACAGTCGGTTATGAAAAGTTACAACAAGAGGTGAAACTGGTGACTGGTGTGGGGAAAGCAATCGAGAGGCTCCAAAACAATCTCGAGTCCATCCGTGCTTTGCTTAATGATGCTGAGGAAAGGCAGATGAAGGATAAAAGCATCAAGCTTTGGTTAGAACGCCTCAAAGCAGTATGTTATGACACGGAGTACGTGTTGGATGAGTGGAACACTGCGCCCTCGGAGTTGCAATTAGATGAAGCAGATCAGAAAAACTTCTCTCTTTCCAAGGGAAAGGTATGTCGTTCCTTCTTTTCGTGTTTTTGTTGTGGTCGAGTTGATTATAGCCGTGGCATTGCTCTTAAAATAAAGGACATCAATGAAAGATTAGATGAGATTGCTGGGGACAAGGATAGGTATCAATTGAAACAAAGTGAAGTTAGCCAGCCTGGAAGAGTAGGAAGCACATCTTTTGCTGTGGTGTCAAGGTTACATGGCCGAGATGGGGTTAAGAAAGACTTAATAGACAGTTTGTTGTGTGGTAACAGTGATGAAATAGAGAGTGATGTCAAAACCTTCTCGATTGTCGGCATGGGAGGGATTGGGAAAACAGCTCTTGCTCAACTTGTATATAATGATGAGGCAGTCACGGAAAACTTTGAAAAGAAAATATGGGTTTGCGTTACGGCAGTGTTTGATTTGAGCAGAGTTGCAAAAGAAGTTATTGTGGGTCTTGCAGGGACTGATCGTGCTTCAGCTCTAAATCTTGATTCCTTTTCACTGCAAAATCTTCTGGAAATAATTTGCAAAGAGATTGAGAGGAAGAAGGTTTTTCTTGTTCTGGATGATGTGTGGACCGATGACAGTGGATCTTGGGAATCATTTAATCAAGCTTTCAAACCTGCTGCACCTGGAAGTAGGATTTTGGTGACTACACGAAATGATAGAGTTGCGATGACTATGAAATCCTTTCGTGACTTTCCTCTAGAGCAATTGAGTGAAAATGTATGTTGGAAAATACTTAACCAGGAAGCGTTTGTGGGATGGGGTGATGAGCAATGTAAAAATTTAGAGGACATCGGAAAAAATATTGCAAAAAAATGCAGTGGATTGCCATTGGCTGCAAAAACGCTCGGAAGCATGCTACGTTCAAAGAAAACAAGAGAAGGGTGGACAAACATCTTGAACAGTGAGATATGGGAATTAGATTTGGAAGCTGTTTTTGCTCCTTTGTTGTTGAGTTATTTTGACTTACCCTCAGCTGTAAGACGGTGCTTTTTGTATTGCTCTACCTTCCCTAAAGGTATTGAGATCAATAGAGATGTCCTAATTTATCAGTGGATGGCACAAGGTTATTTAAATTCTAGTCAGAATCCTGAGATGGAAATTACTGGGGTTGACTACTTTGAGTGCTTGGCGGCACGGTCTTTCTTTCAAGATTTCCAAAAACTTGAAGATGGTAGCATACGGGCCTGTAGGATTCATGACATAGTTCTTGACTTTGCTCGTTTCCTTATGGGAGATGGGGAATTTGTGGTTA